AAGAGCCTTCAATTCCAGTCTTCGATTACGCCATATTCCTAGTTTAAGAGCAGATGATTCCTATTTCCATGCCCATACACATACCAGCGCCTGGGAATCTTCCTCTCCCTAGGCTTCAAACCCATGACTCGATTATCCTCTCCCTCATCCCCATCCACATTGTCTCTCATTCCTTGGGGCCCTGTGTCCGGCTTAATTCATAACCTCTGGTGTGAGAATTCGTAACTTCTATTTTATCCTTTGAATCGCGAAAAGCACACTCCTCTCGTCTCTCTAGTTGAAATTCCCATATAATCCTATGGTACTGGGATAATGCTCATGTGTGTGTGTGTTGGCTGGTATCCCCCGTGGTCAAGCCTGTCACCGGTCGCTTCTCTTTCAGACACAGATATGAAAAATACACACATCTACGCACACACACTGGTGACCTCAGTCTATCCCATCTATACCTATAGCCTTTAATTTCATATCCTCCGTCTCACAGGTGAACCCCCTGGGTACATTTGTTTGGCCAATTTCACTTTTGACTCTTCTCAATACAGTCACTTTTTCTTGACTTCCCTTTGTTCCTCATACGCCGCCCCTTGGTGATAGCTCTTCCGGTTGTTACAATGCTGTCCTACGTCCAAGCGTATTCTTTTTCATGTATTCGTTGAATATCCAAGTCTGCTCAGGCAGTACGCGAAATTATCACTGACTCTGCCCTCGTGCAAACTCCTGCTCATCACGTTTATTTAAAAGAAGATGTCCACAGCCTCCCTGAACTTCCATTTCCTGGTGTTTTGCGTTGCATTCCAGGAAATGCTGTGGCTGGTAATGGCGATGAATTCAGCCATCTCAGACTTTCTGTATTTAATTTCCTGCATAATAGCAGGCATTATCTGATCCGTGTATTCATTCATATTTCTTTCTCTCCAATTTATTTTTGTTTACAGCCCTTGCAGTTTATGCTACAAACTCTGGAGCACTCCATTTAGTTGAATTCTTCATGTTGTGTGGGCAAGCTGGTGAAATGGTTTAAACTTTCCTTCAGGATTGTATGAATGTTCCATTTCCGTAGTATCGTTCATAGCTTCCGATTCTACCGTTTATGCTCGGTTACTCTTTTTTCCTTTCAGAATCTCTGTCCTTCCATCTGTTCATCATCATCCATATGTTGCGTTGTATTGCTTCTTCGGGTTATCCGTTTCCAAGAGACATCTGAGTAAGTTTCACTAGTTCTTCTTCCCAGAACTCAGAATCAGTAAGTCATAGAATTCTTATGACCATCCTTTGGAGTATTCCTATCTTCGCCCCATAAGCATGGTTCTACTAGAAGTTGGGCGTTATTCTAACAGGTGATTTCTTTAGGAAAAGTCTTTTATTGAGAGTTTCCTCTAAGCGGATGACCTCTACATCCAAGAAAGATAAGTATCCGTTCTCTTCCACGTCCGTAGTGACTTTCACTTTTCATCCATTTAGTATATGAAAAGCAAGAAATCGTCTATTTTTTTATTTTTCATGAAACCAGATCGCGAAGTGGTAATACAAATATCGAAAACATTTTGCTGGCTGCTGAGGCGATATTTTGAAATTCTTCTCCAACATTTCCATGAAAAGATTAGCCAACAGATGTGAGAATATGAGCCCATAGACAGACCAAATATTTACTCATACATGTCGGCGTTGAATGTAAAATAGGTTGTTCTTATGGTTAGGTTGATTAGTCGGGTTAGAGACTCTTTACGCATTCGATTCGTCTCCAGGATGTCATTTTCTTTTTCCACGATCTCCAGTAGTGCTGTGAATAGGTTCTTTTATGTGATGTTTATGTACATGGATTGCACATCAAATTTAACCAAAAGTTAGTTTCCTTCCAAACGGGTTCCCTTGAAGCTTTAGAAAAATTGGTATGATTTCTTTACTGTAATCGATAATCCGTCATTCACTTTCTTTAATTTGAGGTAGATAAATTTCATTAGTTTATGTGTTTGTGTTTGTCTATTTTTGACTATCAGTCTCAATGGTTCTGCTTCTTTGTGTACCTTCCACAAACCGTGTGCTACTGGTGCGCCTGCATCCTTTGGTAGGAATGACTTGATTGTCAATTTGTCGATTATCCTAATTCATATTCACTTCCTTAAGAATTTTGTTTAGTGCTCCTTTGATTTTAACTGTCGGGTCTTTTGCTAGCAGTCAATAAGTTGTAGTGTCCCCGAGAATATTTTTTATTTTCTCTGTATATTCCATCCTATCCATCACCACTGTGGTAACCCCATTGTCAAGTTGTAGGAAGAAATATTTCATACTTTCGTCTAAATTCTCTATATATCTTGGTTATATTTTTTCTCTCCGTGGGTTCTTGATGCCACAAGATTCTTGAGATGATTTCCATTTCCAGGTATCTTTTTATTCTTTAGGTGGCATCTCATCCTCGAGATTGCCTTCATTTCATTTCAGGAGTTCACAATTATGTCCATTCTTGAGGATCTCTGTGATCTCCATGCCAAGAGGGATGGAAGACAAAATCACTACTTTATCTTCTTCTCTTCTTTGGACTGTGGAATCCGTCATTCTAGAGGCATCTTTATTTATACTGGGTGATGGACCTTGGGCCGCCTATAGATCCGATATTTAGTTAATATGTTCTGGTAGCTTTTTCTATTTTCATATCAGCGTTTATGAATTCGGACAGACAGAAAGCTCCAAAGAATAAGAAGCAATTTGGGTGGTGATGCGTAAGAGGATATTCAAGTCTTCGATTTGAAGTCTAGAAAGAACAAGATTCCCAGGCATCGGCATTGGCATCATCTGCTCTAAATCCTCTAATGTGGCGTAATTGAGGACGAGATTTGAAGACTCTTATGCAACCAAATTTAAAACAGTCATACGGTAATTTTGGGGTTTAGCAGCAACGAATTAATAAGCAGGCGAAGAGAAAAGGGGGGCTGAAGGGGGGCAGGAGCCCTGCAAACGGCACCTAAGATCTATGGTAGAGATTGTTACGCTTCAATAAACCCACTTGTAGCGAGACACTCTTAGATGGAATTTGAGAAAACGAGAGCACATAATTGTGTGAACTAGTAGGTGGGCCATATTAAGTGAGATTGATATAAAAAGAGGCAGCACTCGAAGGTAGAATAAAGAATAGGTACGAGGAGTGATGTTACAGCTGTTGAAAAGATAATTGGTCAAGAAGATTACCCTTATTTGTCACTTTGATAAGTTATAATTATGTTATAAAAATGGCTGGTCGAACCAACACTATAAAACTAAAAGAGACTGCGACTACAGACAAAGTCACACCATCTTTGTCTTCATATTTATGAAGCAATAATTATACTTAATTGATTGTCTTATGGATAGAAAGTATGGCGAGTCGCCTATGCTGGGGAACTGCATCATTTATTTTTTATTTCGCCATACTTCTAAATACCTTCACACATTATTTACAACTTCTTTCATTCTCCCTCTCTTTCCAGCTCTCTATCTCATAGAAAAAACAAACACACATACAAAAATATCACCAACTTAACCAGACGTTTGTCTGGTTTAACCGTAGTAACAGTTAAAAAGAGGAAAATATGAAGACCAAGATGTTGTGGCCTCTGGTATGGTCGCAGTCTCCTTTCGATTTATAGAAGTGGGTTGACCTCGTTGTCGCAACTTGGTCTTGTGTTCAGGACGACTCAGTAGAACGCACCTAGTCCGAAGTCGTTTGCGATAACGAGGTCTTTCTGACAGAAGGAGGAGTGATAGTGTAACCGTTTCCAGCAGAACGATTGTCGAGGGATTGACTTCACTTGTCTCTGGCGGGTTCGTATCTTGGTGTGGCGAATGGCAAAGCTCACTGATAATGCCGACTACGATGCCGGCGAAACGTTTGAGAATATATCAAGTCCACTGTCAGATGTTGGGAATCATGACAACTACTATGGCAGACGACTTCGGACTAGGTGCGT